TTCATCGACTATTCGCAATTCCTGTGAGATGAATAAATTTTACATTATCTCTGCTCACTTTCCAGCACGTCTTGTTTTTGGACTCAAAGTTCGGAGTTTCTATGAAAGGGAGTACATTAAGACATTTGCAAGATTAATTCAAGATATTCATCTACATTTTCAAAGGAGTATCCTCAGTTGGAGTCAAGCTTTGAAGCTTTCACACCATTTACAAGATACTTCATCTCTAGCTCTAAACCATGACCCGCTCGAAAGCCAAAATCCAGGTTCAAAAAATTTAAAAGCGTTAACAGTCTATCCGTCTCAGCGCTATATCGTCTTAACATAGCTCTTTCTTTGTTTGAAATCGTTTTCTCTTTTTCGTTTCCGATATACAGTCTAAAAAATTCCAAAATATTCATCTTCCTCTTCTATATGGATGATTTTCCATCCTCTTCCGATATTTCCTAATTGAATTTGCCAAAACAGAATGTTTCTCAAATCTCGCTAGAGCGCTGAAACTTTTCAGTTGATTTCCTATTTTAAGCCTTGAGTAACTATGGAACGACGCGAAGTTTACACTACCCAGCAACCAGATGGCACTTATGTCACGACAACAACGCGAACTCAAACGAAATATGCAGAGGTGCTACCAGAGTCCCTATCCTCATTTTCTAATTATTCTAAAAAACTTCTTCTTTTTCAGGACAAGGTATACGGATGTGGTATAGGTCAAACAAACAAGTATTATTGTTGTGGCCCTTATGGCATTCTTCGTATCCTTGAAATTGTAAGTGCTGACTTACTTTCACTTATTTACAGCTATAAACTTTATTTTTTTCAGCTGTTGTGCTTAATCTTGATATCTCTGATTACGTCAGTATTCGGCCCAGGGCCATTCAAGGGTAAGTAGATTTTGTTCTGGAATGTAGGAGCCTGGAGATTGCTAAAACATTATGCTTATCCACTTATCTTAGGAATACTATTTGGCCAAACACTGCTTTTAATCTTCGCTGGTATAGCCATGTGTCTCACTTTCATCTTTCTTATCGTATACTTCTTCACCTTAAATGAAACTCATCTCGATTTTTGGCCCTGGAGAACGACGGTGAGGTTCCCTTTAGGTTT